TCAATGCAGAAAACCGAAAGTGTAGCAGACTATTTCAATAGGCTGCAGTTGCTCGTCAATCAGATTAAAATTTGTGGAGAAACCGTGACTGAATTGAGTACAGTAGAAAAGGTTCTGCGTACACTGACAGAAAATTTTGATAATATAGTAGTGACAATAGAAGAGTCTGGCAGGAATATGAAGGTCCTGTCACTGGAGGAATTACAGAGTACGTTAGAAGCACACGAGTTGAAGCGCACAACGCGAAAATCTGAGAAGGCAGAGGATGAGCAGGCCTTGAAAGCCCAGATCAGCAAGAAAAGTTGTGGTTCTGACAGAGGAAACTGGAAGAAGAATAGAGGAGGAGGCAGATTTAACAAAGAAAGAAATTCTTTGTCTCAAGATTCTGGTTCTGGAGAGAAAACAGATCAGAAGGCTCAAGGAGGACGTGGGTCTTGGAGAGACAGAGGAGGAAAGAAGAGTGTTGATATGCAGAAAATTCAGTGCTACAGTTGTGAGAAATGGGGTCATTATGCAGCAGACTACTGGCACGGAAAAGGAAGACAGAAAAGGGGTCCAGTTGATGCAGAGGCAAAAGTAGCACAAGATGATTCAGAGGAGGAGCCTGTGGTGCTTATGGTAACGACCAGTGAGGAAGAATTTGGTGTTGAAACTTGGTTTCTTGACACTGGATGTTCCAACCATATGACTGGGCACAAAGAATGGATGTCCAGCATAGATACCAGCAGATCCAGCAAGATAAAGCTAGCAGATGACAATGTCATAAAGGCTGAAGGAGTTGGGAATGTGGTAATTAAGAAAGATGGCAAAGAAGTCATAATGATAGAGGATGTGTTATATGTGCCAGGGATGAAATGCAATCTGTTGAGCGTAGGACAACTGGTGCAGAAAGGTTTTTCAGTGTCAATGAAGGAGGAAATGTTGAGAGTTTATGATGCTAAGAAAAGGCTTGTACTGAAATCTCTTTTGGCAAAGAACAGGACATTTTAGACAAGGCTTTTCTTGACAGAAAATCAATGTTTAACAACAACTACAACAGAGGAAGTGAGTTGGTTGTGGCATAATAGGTATGGGCACTTAAATTTTACCAGTTTGAAGAAGTTGACTGATAAAGGGATGGTGACTGGACTGCCTGAGACATTAGCTGTACCAGGAAAGGTGTGTGAAGGGTGTTTGATGGGAAAACAACCCAGAAATGCCTTCAAAACACATATGCACATGAGGGTAAAGGAGGTATTGCAGGTAGTTTATTCTGATGTATGCGGACCATTTGAGGAGTTATCACTTGGACAAAATAAATATTTTGTCACATTTGTTGATGAGTACAGCCGAATGATTTGGTTGTATTTGATCAAAGTCAGATCAGAGGTGTTCTCTATTTTCAAGAAATTTAAAATGATGACAGAAAACAAAGTGGGAAGATGATTCAGATCTTGAGAACAGATGGAGGAAAGGAATATTTGTCAAATGACTTTGAAGATTACTACAAAGAGAATGGTGTGCAACATGAAGTTATAGCACCATATACTCCACAACATAATGGGTTGGCAGAAAGAAGGAATATAATGATACTTAACATGGCCAGGAGTATGATAAAACAAAAACAGTTGCCTCATTCACTATGGGGGGAAGCTGTCTCAACAGCTGTCTATTTGCTAAACAAGTGTCCTACACAAAAGTTGGAAGATAAAGTTCCAGAGGAGGTTTGGTGTGGTAATAGGCCAGGGGTTAAGCATTTGAAGATATTTGGCTCAAAATGCTACAAACATGTGCCAGATGTTAAAAGGACAAAACTGGCAGATAAAAGTGAGGCTATGATTTTTGTGGGTTATCACTCCACAGGAGCTTATAGGCTATACAATCCTGTTTCCAAACAGATTTGTATCAGTAGGGATGTTGTGGTAAGTGAAGAAGAATCCTGGGATTGGAATGAAAGACAAAGGGAAGGCAAGCAAGCTAGAGGGTTCTTTGAAGAAGAGGAAGAAGTTGATACAGCAGGAGAAAATACGATAGAACCCCAGTCTCAAAGAGTTGTGAGGCAGAGAAGACCACCACGAACTCTGGTGGATTTTGAAGTATATCCAGATGATGCTGTGACAAGTGAGGGAGACTTGTTGCATTTTGAACTAATGGCAGAAGCTGAACCATTAGATCATGATGAAGCCATGAAACAAGAATTATGGAAGGAAGCCATGTTAGAAGAATTAAACTCCATTGAGAGGACAAACACCGGGAACCGATCGACTTACCCAAGTAACAAAAAACCCATTGATCCGAAATGGGTTTTCAAACTAAAGGTGAATCCAAATGGCAGTATTAACAAAAGGAAGGCAAGGCTAGTTGTGAGAGGATTTTTACAAAAGAAAGGGTCTGGACTACACGAAGTATTTGCTCCTGTGGCTAGAATTGAGACAATAAGGATGGTAGTAGCCTTGGCGAATAGGAGAAAGTGGCTTTTATTTCAGATGGATGTCAAATCTGCATTCCTAAATGGCCTACTTGAAGAAGAGGTTTATGTTACACAACCTCCTGGATTTGTGAAGAAAGGTGTTGAGCATAAGGTATATCGGCTGAGGAAGGCTCTTTATGGCCTTAAACAGGCACCCAGGGCCTGGAACAAAAGAATAGATGCTTTTATGTTAAGCCAAGAATTTAAGAAATGTTCAGTGGAACATGGAGTATATGTGAAGTATGGCAGAGGGACTGATCTAGTCTTAATGTGTATATATGTGGATGACTTGCTCATTACAGGAAGCAATATTGACGAGATAGAAGAATTTAAGAAGTTGTTAATGACAGAATTTGAAATGACTAATTTAGGAAAACTAAAATACTTCCTAGGCATGGAGTTTGTGGAGACTGAGAGAGGATTGATTCTACATCAGAGGAAGTATGCTGCGGAGATCCTAGCAAAGTATGAAATGATGGACTGCAACATAGCAGTAACACCAGCTGAGGGAAAAGTTATAGTAACTGAAGATGGAGAAAGTGAGGTAGATGGTACTCTGTACAAACAGGTGGTTGGGTCTCTTAGGTACCTTTGCAACAGTAGGCCAGATATCTGCTTTGCAGTAGGCATCCTAAGTAGATTCATGCAGCAACCCAAGCAGAAACATATGCTAGCAGCCAAAAGGGTCATGAGATATGTAAAGGGAACATTAGATTTTGGAGTATTATTTCCAAAATCTAAAGAAATACAGACAAAGTTGGTTGGTTATTCTGATGCAGACTGGTGTGGAGATAGTGTGGATAGAAGAAGTACTACAGGTTGTATGTTTATGTTTATGGGAGCACCAATTTCTTGGTGGAGCAAGAAGCAATTTGTGGTGGCTCTATCTACATGTGAAGCTGAATATATAGCGGGATCAAGTGCAGCTTGTCAAGCTATATGGTTAAACTCAGTGTTGACAGAGATAAGAGTTGAATTGGAACAACCTATTGAGCTACTTGTTGATAACAAGTCAGCTATAGATCTTGCAAATAATCCGGTTTCACATGGCAGAAGCAAGCACATTGAGACTCGCTTCCATTACATACGAGATCAAGTTAAAAATGGGAAGTTGAAACTGGTTTACTGTCCTACACAACTCCAACTAGCTGATATCTTAACCAAACCTTTGAAGAAGGAGAAGTTCAAGATAAACAGAGAAAAACTAGGAATTTTGAGTACTGATACTGGAATTAAGGGGGGATGTGAGAATTTAATTCCAGTTTTTGGTTTAACTGTCAGGTTTTAGTTTGTAACCAACTATTAATTGTGTATTCTTCTATATAAGAGTACCCATAACTCAGAAATAAATATACAACGATACTTTTCAGTTTATCACATATATACACAAATTAAACACATTATCCTCCATAGTATGTGTGTGTCTATACACGTGTGAAGTATATAGAGAGAAGGAAGTGAGAGGAGGAGCTTATCTGATGAAGCTGGTGGAGCTGCGACGGTGGACGGTGGAACCCTAGAGTGAGCTGGAGTTTTCGTGGTCACTGTGTCTTTTCGAGAACTTTCTCCTTCTTTCTTGTGTTGTTTTTGGTGCGTGTGTGAAGACGTGGGTATTATTAACAGAAGTGAGAAGTGAGCCTGAGTATTGGGCCAGTTTGAACAGCTAATATCACATATCATCTCTTTTAAATTATGGTCCATCCCTTTTTAAAATTTTTCTATTATGAACCTAGCTTGATTGTCTAATGTTCTCCATGTTCATATTATAAAACTCTTAACAATATCAAACAAAAACACGTGATCACATATATCCCCAAGTTCTTAATATATTTGATCCAAACAACCAAAAATAATATTTTTCTTTGATAGATTTTCTATTTTCATAAATAAATTACAAAAATGACTACATATTTTTGTCATTCCTAAATACTAAAACACATCTTAAGATTTATATAAAAATAAATTTTTAAAATTAAAAACAAAAAAAGAGTGATTAATTAAAAAATAACAAAACGATGTATGACTTCAATTTCAATAACAATGATTTAGTGGAGATATTCATGGATTAATTAGATTGAGATATAATAAAACAATCACGGTTCTTTATCTTCTTTTACCATTTTGTTAATGATAAAATAATACCATATGAAAAATTAAGAAGGTACATAGTATAAATATATTTATTATTCATGATAAAATGTATAACATAAAAAATAACTTAAACAAAAATGTAATTAAAATAATTAATATTTATTACCAAAACAAAAGAATTAACATAAATTAAAATAAATTAAAATTTATAAAAATATCATATTAATATATATATATATATATATTATAATTATATATTATGACTTTTCGGAGCATTGTTTAGATACTCGTGGGACTCTACAAAAGTGTAAATTTTGTGCCGTTGTTATACAGCTATCGAATGTTTGATTAGGCATCTAAAGAAACACTGTCTACCGTGTTTCCTTCTTTGTGTTGCTTCAAATGCTATGCTATCTCCTCTGTGTTAATTGAACCATAGAAGTGAATCATAATTTATTTGATGGCTTTCATTCTCGTCACTGCTTCTCTCTTCTTTGTATTTTTATGGATAATTTCTCTTTGCAAAGTGCTGCTTCTTCCCCGCATCCCTTGGGCCAAACATTTCATGCACAACGGTAATGCCCATTTTTTTCCCATTCGCCTCAATTTATCTTCTTTTTCCTCAAAATCTCTCTCTTTTTTTTTTCCTCAGGCAGAGCATTTCGGAAGAGAAACGTCTTGTTGGTGATTGCTCATCCGGATGACGAATCCATGTAAGTTCCAAACCCCCATTTCTTGTTTCTAATTCTAATTCCTTCGATTCCGATCCTTCTTCAAAACCGCTGCGTTTAGTCAATTTTCGTACCCCACTTTTGTTTTTTTTGTTTTTTTTTTCAATTGATTCGTTTGAAGAAAGCTTGCAGTTATTTGTTACGGAATTGACTTGTGAATATAGATAGTGGTTGAAAGATTCTGTATATACTGTGAAATTCAATTCACAACAATATATTATGTCGTGTTAACTAGTTCCTTTTACCCTCTAAACAAGAATCGTGCGAATTAAACAAACTATATACCTCACTCTGATATTTGATTCTGGCGTGCGTCTATTCATCAAATCCTATTGTGCACCGGCGGATCTTCACTTCATTAAATTTTGGGGTGACAAGTAAAATATAATATATATATATATATATATATTAAAGAAAAAAATTGGGATTTCAAGCTCATCTTTAGTTTCTTTATTGCGTCTCTTTATTTTCCAAAGCTTGTGAGAGATGATGCATGAGGCCTGTCAATGACCAATTTTAAATCTTCATTCCTACCATAAGGCAAAAATGCTTCTCTGATACAAAACCCCATAAATTGGGTTACCTGGAACGTCTTCTGGATTTTATCCGTCATTGAAATTTGAACTGATGCTAATCTTGAAAACTCAATAATTTTTTTTTTTTGAAGACTAGTTAGATTCTCTTATCACTTATTTGTTTCAAAAATTGTTTTGTAAAATAAATATCACATTATTCAGCAATTATTCTCTCATGCAAAATTTATGAAATTTTGAAAATTGTTTCCAAGGCAAGTGTTTTAAAATCCAAAAAACAGAAATTGCTTAGGGATGTTTTCTCGTCTTCTTTTGTTTTCTTCCAAGTGTTTTGTTTAAGTGGTTAACTCCAAGGACAAACTTTTGGAAATAGAAATGTGCTCAGGGACTCAATTTTTTGAAAATAGAAAACTGTTTCTGAAAACAATAAACAAGCAATGCCTGAATTGCTATTCTAAATTGTACAAAGTGCATCTTTGTTAACTTAAGGACATTGCATGGTGTCACTTCATTATCTTCAGAAAAAAATCATCTGTTCTTTTTGCGTATTTTTTTGGTGGTATAGTGAAGGCATTTGAAGTTTGAAGCATATATTTCCTATATTATAATTTAACACTATCTTTGAAATTTTGTTTCATTTCTACAGGTTCTTTACACCAACTATAAATTTTCTGACTTCGAAGGGGCATAACGTTCAAATACTATGCTTATCTACTGGTGAATAGCTTTGCACAATCTGTTTTTATCTTGTTATTATGGAAGTTTTGTTATAAATGAAATTATTTGATCTTTTATGTCAGTTGAGACTCATATTTATTAATTTCAATTGTTGATTTCTTTCTTTCTATTCTGTAGTTGAATTTTCTTCAAGTTGACATCTTTCTAAATTAAGAAAGTTTAGTTAATGTCTTGATAAGAATTTGATGTTTAGATATTTTCAGTGTAAAGAGTATTTCATTATTAATGAATCATGATGTCACTTCAATATTATTTCTCAGATCATATGTAAAAAGAAGTTCAAAATTATTTCTCAGATCATATGATAATAGACTTAAATGTTACAATCAGCTAATGAATTATTTATCACTGTTTATTTTTGATACGAATTTTCTTTTTATTTTCTATAGTTTTATTCAAAGGGGCTTCAACATACCCATAGCCTATATAGATAAAAGAAAGAAGTATGGGCTGAGAAAAAATGGACCTAGCAGAATTGAGGGCTCACTTTGGGAATGGGTGTGTGAAGGAGATGAAGGAAGGTTCTATGATTGGGAGAATAAGAGGGAATGATTGCAAAATTAGTAAGGAGGGGCATCAAAAAGATTGTGGGGATTCCTTTATGTGGATGCTGGTATTGACATTTGAAGAAAATTATAGGCATTGGTTGGGGGGAGTTCCCCGGTGTATGAGACCCCACTGTTATTCTGTTTCTATTTTCTTGTCCATCTGTGTTTTTTTATTCTCATAATTTTGAGGATTCCTTACAAGCCATTGTCCACTTTCCATTATTACTGTATACATATCTCAGTCCTTAACAGTCTTTAATTAATGGAAGATTTACTTTTGCATTTTAAAGATTTAGGGAAAACAATCTATCTATCTTAGATTGTTAGATACAAGAATTTCAAAGCCACAAAATTGAAGCTTCAAATCTAAGCTCTAAAGTTTTAAATTTTATGTTTCAGTTCATCGGATAGTTTTTCATTATTATGTTTCTGTAGGTGGTGCAGAAGGCAAAGGAAATATCAGAAAACGAGAGCTTTTTCAGGCTTGTGTAGCCCTCAAGGTTATTTACATAATGGCATAAAATAGTTGTGGTTTCCAACTTGATATCATAGCTTCTCTGTACAAATTAAGCGTTGCTCCTGTCAGGGAACTGTTCAATTATTTTCCTGGACATCACTTAGTGGTCATAGCTTTCCCATCTGAGAACATAAATTCTTGGGAAACCTTGGTAGACTTTCCTTGATAATGTTCCATACATAATTTAAATATGACAGTCAATGGCTAATAAATAATAGGGTATTGTTTTGTTTGTATGACATTGGAAATTGTGTACCCAGGTTCCGATGCAACAACTGAAGATTATCAACCATCCAGATCTGCAGGTTTTGATCCAATAGGTCTCTGGATATAATAATATTTACTATTACTTCTGAAGCTTATTGTTAGTTCCTTATATCGCCATTGTTTAACATGTTGTCATACCAAGGATGGTTTTGATAAAGTTTGGAACCATAGCTTATTGGCACAGATTATTGAGGAACAAATAACCAGTTGTTCAATTGATGTGGTAAGACTGTTCTGCCTGCCCTAACCATCTTTGACAGACTAGTACTTCCTATGCAAATGATCTCTCTTAATTATCCTTCTTCTACTTATTATCCATTTTTCCCCAGATTATTACCTTTGACAGCTACGGTGTCTCCGGCCATTGTAATCATTGTGATGTGCACTATGGAGTATGGTAAGTTACGCATTAGTATTGATCATATCAAATAACTATAACTGGGAAAATCTGGGGATATAGTAGCACGATTGGATGGGCTTTTATTTCAAAGGACATAAATGGTTTGTTTTAAATGCTCTCTCTAAAAGAGATTATTTATTCAAAATAAGTTGAACCAAAAATGCACTGACATTTGTACATTTTGAGATTTATTTCAAACAATATAATTTTAAAATAGAAATTACAATAAATGACTCATGCAGCTCAAACAGTGTACTCTAAGCTCATTGACCCCCACCTTTACTATGTTATAACAATACCCATTTTCACTTTTGCTGTTTTTTTGTGCTTGTTACTGTTAGGAGCAGCGTAGTTTGTTTGCATATAAACTCTCCATAGTCGAATAAACCTGAACAACTTCTCTAATACTGTTAATATATTTTTTACATGCTGAAATTTTGTTTTAAAAGCTCCTGCAAGCTGCTATGCAGTGGTTTTTAGATTATTAAACTTGTTAGAATATGTTGATATTTGATACTGAATACTTCTTATAGAATTATTTAAATTGAGTAACTTTTATGTTTATTGTGTCTACGGTTCCATTACCGGACCCAAGTCCAGATAAAGTAGAGGAGTGTGTTAGGCTCCGATACAAAATTTGTCGATATCTCAAACATGGGTCACTTACAACAGACTGTGTACCTAAGAATTTGGTTTTTAGTTGAGCCCAATGGTATCATTGGTCCATATAGTCTACCTAATCACGTGGTAAAGGCTTTTGCTGTTGTAGCATTGTGCTTTTCTGATTGTTAGAGTTTATCCTTGTGGATTCTGTAGCAGCTCTCTTTGCCCTCACGAATGTGATATTTTGTACAGTATCCGAGAAATGTCAGATTATGGAGTTAAGTGAATGAGGACAGCTTCCATGACTTGTCTAAGTAGACTAATTGCGTTATTTTCTCTCACTCTCATGCTGCCGTCTCTGACATTGAAACTTGTTTCCATTTTGTGACAGCAAGCTACTACATGATACTTTACAAAGGGATATTGAAGTTTGGGAGCTTGTATGTGTTTGTTTTCGTAGTTATCTTCTCGTCTTGTTTGACCAATTATTTTCTATAGCTCGTCCACATTGCCTTACTTTCCTGGGATGTTTTCATTACTGTTAGGTTAGCACCAATATTTTGCGCAAATATAGTGGTCCTGTTGATATTTGGCTGTCCATATTTTTCACCATGCTGCACTCAAATGGAACAATGCAGTGCTTAGTAAATGAACATTCTCGCAGGAGCTTTAAGGCAATGGCCCAACACTCAAGTCAGTGGGTGTGGTATGCATGCTTTACCTTACTTCTTTTCGTAAAACTATAGACTAAATATCTTTCATTGAAATTTGCAAATGTTGTTTAGTTTGGATTTTCTTCTTTGAATGTTTTCATCCTGTAATCTTTTCCCTCCTTGTGTCAATATTGCAATCCATCACACAGGACATCCATGTGATAGATATGTAGAAACTTCAACTGAGATTATCTCAAAGAGGCATTGAGCACATCTAAATTCATTTCCGCAGGTTCCGCAAGCTTTTTGTAACCTTCTCCAGTTATACATATATGAACACTCTTAGAAAGGTAAAGTAAAGTTGCAATGCTGAAGGAGTTGTGGTGTTGCTTGTGAGATCAGCTTTCATTTGTTGCAATCCTGCTCCTTGCTCTGCATCTCAACTTTCGTCCGGTTAATCCTAGTACTTTGTATGGACTGAACCCTGAGGCTCAAGCAGCCTTTCACTTCCATGAAATGATTGAACGAAATTACTTCTAATTCTCTTCAATTTCTCAAGCTTAGTACATATACTCATTAACAATGGTCTGGTATAAGTTTGTCAGATTTTTTTACTAACTTTTCAGTTTTTTGTATAAATAAAGTAGCACAATTTTCTTTATTGCCTATGTATTAGAATGATCCGTGAATCCTTCGTGACTTTTTTTTTTCTTTCTATCAATCTTGAATTACCCACGGGCTAATACTTGCAATTATCCTGTAATCATATTTGCCATCCTACTTCTAATCGTGTGTAATCTAACATCTGGGTAAGAGCAATTGCACATGCATGAGCTGAAATTGATGGCATTTGATTTTGGTGGGACACTGCCCAATGTTATATCCATGAAGGAAGTTTGTGATACAACCTAATGTTTCACTGAGTTGAAGGGGGAAATGAGTTCGAACCTTTGATTAAAACTAAATAGAGACGCTTTTGAACTTTTATTAATATTTGTATTTTAGTCAAATTAAAGCCAAAACTAATTAAGTTGAATAAACTGTAAAAACATGCTGATTTTACTTCAAGTAATATTTGACCTAATTGTTTATAACCTAATATTATTATTTTTAATTGCTATATTAAATTCTTCATCTATTCCTTCTTGTAATATTATGATATCTATAATAATAAAAATTATCTTTTATATTACATTATTTATCATGTTTTTAATAAAAAATATTTTTGAAACTAAATTGTTAAAGTTCAAATTTAACTGAAAAATTGTAAATTATAATTACATAAATTATACTGTCTATGTAATAATAGAAAACGAAAAAATTATATAAAAAAATTCATATGAACATGTGTTTAGGTTATTTTTTATTTCATTACTTATTTTACCATATAATTTTGTCAAGGTTTTTTTTTTTTTTAATTCAATAAACTTTTATCAGTTATCTCTTTCGTAGTTTCCAAAATTAAAAACCAAGGACTAAGATATTCCATGACTGATAATTTCAAGAGTTAATGATGATTTTTAACTTTGGATTAGAGACTAATTTAATATATTACTCAAACACATAGTTTGGTTTAAAAGAGACAAGGAAATAGAGTTTTTTTTTTTTAATGAGAAAGAGGAATCACTTCTTTTGTTCTCAAGGAGGGAAGAGTGAAGGAAAATAAACTAGTTAACTATTGTAAACTTAGAATAGTCAAATAAAATTATGAAGAATGATTTGGTTCAATTATAATATAAAAGTTTTAAACGATGGAAAAAGTCAAATTTTATGTGGAGGGGATATTAGCCTTGTTCTTCTGTCCAAAATTGTAAATCAAATATTAAAAGTTCTTTTTCCTTGCACCAAACATAATTAATATATATATATATATATATATATATATATATATATATATATATAGAGAGAGAGAGAGAGAGAGAGAGAGAGAGAGAGGGAGGGAGGGAGAGAGTTAGCTTTTTAAAGTAACATAATTATCGAGGGATAGGAAAACCAATAAGGTCAAGTGAGATTTCCTTAACAATTCATAAAGTACATTATTTTCACTACAAATGTGTAGAGAATAAAATAAAAGGTAGAAAACTATAAATAGATTTGATGCCTATATATAAACTTATGTGGCAAATGTACTTGTTATTTCTGGGAAACATGACCTTGATATTTCTTGAGAATGCTTCCATCAACAGAATCACAAGACTGTGTATAAATCTCATTTTTCGTTGATTAACTTTTCTTAGAACACTCCATGAGTGATATTAAATTATGTTTAGTAACATATTTAGACTCACAGAAATTCAAACATATAAGTAAGAGAAAGCTCTCCCATTCTATAACAACCAAAAGGTTAAGAGGGAACCATCCCTCAAAAGCTAGCTCAAGAGGTTAGAGAACCTCTCTCCTTATAAGGAGACCTCCCTGATGTGTGACTTGCTACAAAACCACCCCGTTCGAAAGTCAGCGTCCTCAATGGCTGCACTTCTCGGTACTTCACTCACCGACTCTTCACTCGGTCTTCTTACCGAGAACCCTTCGGTGGTCAGAACCCTCCGTGGATAGCCCTTCTGGCTGCACTCCCCGATAATTCACTCGGTCTTCTTACCGAGAACCCTTCGGTGGTCAGAATCCTCCGTGGATAGCCCTTCTCGAGTTTGTTGACTCTCAATGAAAGCACCAATATAACAGTCATAAGGCTAAGAAGGGAACCATCCCTCAAAAGCTAGCTCAAGAGGTTGGAGAATCTCTTACTTTATAAGACCTCCTGATAAGGAGAACTCCCAATCAGACTTCTTATACATTCCATTTATTTTAGAGAAATTGTATTCACGTAAGAATAATTTTCTTACAACAAAAAGGAAGGGGGAAGTAGAAAAACACAGTTTATCGAGGGTATGTTTGGATGTAATGCAGAAGAGCTTTTAAGAAATTTTCTATTATTGAGAATGTACAATTTATTTTTCTGTAGAATAGTTCTTAAAAATTCACAAAAAATCATTCTAGTTTTAGATCCAAATATACCTTAAGAAAGAACGTTTGATATGATAAGAGAGAGAAAATGGTGTTGCAAAAATGTTTCTGTAAATAATACAACTCTGGTTATTCTTCCCAAAAATTTACGAACAACTTACAGCGATGTAATGAACTAGAATCAGTGGAATAGAATAGGTCTAGCTTAAAGATCCATTCAAATATTCTGAAATTTGTATCAGGGTTACATGCTAAAAATTTATAGTTCAAATTTATAGTGCATAATTAAGTAGAAAAAAACCATTTTATTCCACTCAAAAGAGGCTTCAAATACTCGTGTTTTATGGTTTTGTTAAACTATTTTTTTATATTCTATTCTTATAATATTTTAATAATTATCTTTCTATAAATATTAATAAAAAGATTATTTTTTTACACATTTTCTTACAGTTTTATTTTTAATATTTTGATAATAATTTTAAATCATATTCATTAATTTTTTATAATAAAAAAAAAGAATATTTTTTCTACTATTACTAATAATAGTATATTAAGCTTGGTTTGACCCTAAAATGAGTTATATATATTTTTAGAAGAAGAGCAAGAAAAAGGGGCAGTGGGAAGAGAAAACATGCCAAGATTGGATTAGAAGAGGTGGTTGTATGGGATTCCCGCACAGGATATTCGTAGAAAAATAAAACGGAGAAAACAGAGAAAAACTATAAATTGCACCCAAATTGCACGCAAAACCACACCTTTAAATTCTCTCCACCAATCACTGAGAAGAAGAGGGTAAGGAGGAAAAGGATAAAAGGCAAAAGACCCTCGTTCAATTTCTCCCTCCGTTTTCCCTCACTTTCCCGAGAAAATGAGAGAAATCCTTCACATCCAAGGCGGCCAGTGCGGCAACCAGATCGGAGCCAAGTTCTGGGAAGTGATCTGCGACGAGCACGGCATCGACCACACCGGAAACTACAGCGGCGACTCCGAACTCCAACTCGAACGTATCAATGTGTACTACAATGAGGCCAGTGGCGGAAGGTACGTTCCACGTGCCGTCCTCATGGATCTAGAACCGGGCACGATGGATTCGGTCAGATCCGGCCCGTTCGGCCAGATATTCCGCCCCGATAACTTCGTGTTCGGGCAGTCCGGCGCCGGAAACAACTGGGCCAAGGGTCACTACACGGAGGGCGCCGAACTCATCGATTCCGTCTTGGATGTTGTGAGGAAGGAGGCCGAGAACTGCGATTGCTTGCAAGGTTTCCATAATTTTTTTTTTCAATTTTGAGCTTCATCTCTCTCAATATCAAAATTCAGTTCATGGAACGAGGGATGCTATCGATTATTTGCACTATTTTCACCATATTAATTATCCATTCATGTGGGACGTACAAGTCTTCGTTTGTTTTGTGATATTCATGTTTATTGTTTGCAATTGTGATAATTTCAATTTCATTGTTGGCTTTAACAGGGTTTCAAGTCTGCCACTCTTTGGGGGGTGGAACTGGCTCGGGCATGGGAACGCTTCTGATCTCGAAGATTCGGGAAGAATATCCTGATCGAATGATGTTGACGTTTTCTGTTTTTCCTTCCCCCAAGGTATCTGACACAGTGGTGGAGCCGTACAATGCCACGCTTTCTGTCCACCAGCTTGTTGAAAATGCGGATGAATGCATGGTTTTGGACAATGAGGCTCTCTATGATATCTCTTTCCGTACCTTGAAGCTTGCTACACCAACTTGTAAGTCTCAGATTTCTCTTGGTGCAGCTTATGTCTCACTCGTATCTCGTGCTTATAGTTGTTAAATTTCTGCACTCATTTTTGTTTCCAGTCCCCTTTTCTGAATGGAATATATGTTGCACTATATTTTTTGATAATTTTAGTCGTGAGTTCAAATCTTCATTTCTTTTTCTTGTTTGTTGCAGTTGGGGACCTTAACCACTTAATTTCTGCTACCATGAGTGGAGTTACTTGTTGTCTACGTTTCCCCGGGCAGCTTAACTCTGATCTTAGGAAGCTTGCCGTGAATCTGATCCCATTCCCTCGTCTCCATTTCTTCATGGTTGGATTTGCACCCTTGACATCAAGAGGATCCCAGCAGTACCGGAACTTGACTGTGCCAGAACTCACTCAGCAAATGTGGGATGCTAAGAACATGATGTGTGCTGCAGATCCTCGCCACGGTCGTTATTTGACCGCATCAGCAATGTTCCGTGGAAAGATGAGCACCAAGGAGGTGGATGAACAGATGATACATGTACAGAACAAGAACTCTTCTTACTTTGTTGAGTGGATACCCAACAATGTGAAGTCCAGCGTGTGTGATATTCCTCCAAAGGGTCTTAAGATGTCGTCTACTTTTGTTGGAAATTCAACATCAATTCAGGAGATGTTCAGGAGAGTTAGCGAGCAGTTCACAGCCATGTTCAGGCGCAAGGCTTTCTTGCATTGGTACACTGGTGAGGGAATGGATGAAATGGAGTTCACCGAGGCTGAGAGCAACATGAATGATCTGGTGGCAGAGTACCAGCAATATCAGGAGGCTACCGTTGATGAAGAAGAATATTACGAGGATGAAGAAGAGGATATTGGTGCTTGAGGTGTCTTTCTAATTGTAATGTGGATGATGGATGGGTGGGTGAATTTAAATGGTGGAGCACTTAAAAACAATGACTTGCTCATGTTGTAGTAGTAGTATTAAATTGAGGTCATTGTTTAACCTGGGTTTTGTTGATAATGCCTCTGTTATTAAGGCATGGGATGTTTTCCTGGGTAGAAAATTGTACACATCCACGTTTGCAGTTCTCGTATTTATACTCCATTTACCCTTTTTTCGTTTATGATTGGTCTGCTTTCAACTAAACAATAATTCATTCTTTTACCATTATCATATTAATTGGAGTGATTTTATTTTGACAATCGGTTAAAAAAACAACCATATATCACTTCTCTTTAACATTTCACACCAAATGTAAAAATTCAAAGTGGGAGTTATCAGTCATTATTGCCATTGAGTAATGATCAATACATATTTAGAACTATAATGCATGCTAATTATGATTACTTTGTCATATAGCCACATTACAAAACACACAAATGTTCGTTGACATCCCATGCCTCTAAGAACAACTCAATATATTAATTAAATAATATAATTTATTATTTTATTAATATTTTTAGTTATTAATATTTATTTAGGTTAAACCTTAAATCTTAAACTTTATTAAAAAAAGTAAGTTTATTATAAAAATATACGTGAGTAATAATACAACATGTTAAAAAATTATGAAATTTATTTTAATAAACAATTGTTACGAATATTATTATTATTATTATTATTATTATTATTATTATTATTATTATTATTATTATTATTATTTTCTCTACTTAGTGGAAAGGCAAGAGATTCGAAAAAAAAAAACGATAAGACTCCGTAGAAGAGATTTTAGAGTTTTCTATTATTAAAACCAAATGTGATAAAGTTTCTTAATTATCATATAATAACGTGGTTTCACAAAATATAATTATATATATCATATTTAATTATTAATCAGTTATATAATTAATTTTGTATTTTATATAATTATATTACATTTTTTTCTTTGTGTTAAAATATAATAATTTGTAAAGAAAAAGATTAGATCATTATTTTTATTTTGCTCAATTTATTAAAAAAATTATTTCAAAAGAATATTAAAGATGACGACAGCGATATTTTTTAGAAGTTATAAAAGATAGAGGGTATCGAATGTAAAATGCACAACTATAACATACAATAGTTCTTAAAAACTTGTTACTTAAGCCATATAGAAAAATATGTTTGAAAATTTAGTAATAGAGAAAAGGCTGTTGTTATATCTTTGACTAGTAAAATTAAAATCTTAATTAGGAGCATCTTATTAAATACTCTAAACATTTCTTATTAAAATCTTAATTTACTAGTAAAATACTAGTAAAATATATATATATATATATATATATATATATATATATATATATTAATTATAAATGTCAGAAATTTTTTATATACTATATAAGTAAATTTTTAAAATAATTATAATTTTAAAATAAATATATTTAATATTACACATTACTAATTATAGATAAATATCATCAATATTTACTATATAATTTTCCTAATAAATATTGACTAAAATCAAACTTAAGTTATAAAGAGTATAATTATAAAAAATAGTAATCACTATACCACTTAAACATTTTATTATTTGTATATTTTTATTTTTATTTTCACAATTAAATAGTATTGTCGTTAGTGGTTAGTTTTCATTAAACCAACAAACATTATAATATTTCTTAAAAACAATTAATATTTTATACAAAAAATATCATAAGGTTTACTTTTTCAATACTATTTTTATTTTTTTACCAAAATTAGAAACATAGAATATCTAAATACTTAATTTTTAAAAACTAATTTATCTTAATCTTTACAACAATTGGAAACTCGTCCAAAGAGGATAAAACAAATTTTTTTATTTAGGAATAAAATTTAAAAAGACACTACAAATCGTATGAGAAAGATATAGACCACTAAAATAAATATTACTAAAATTTACATAATAATCACTTTGCATTAAAATGTTTTTCTTCCTTGTTGATAAAATACTCAATATAGAAAAAAAAAGTTACTGTAAAATAATAATTATAATAATAATAATAAAATTTAAATTTAAAGATGTTATGAACATTGGTAAAGGAACATAAGCATGAATAGGTTGGAAAGTGTTCAACAATAAGAGTAATATGAAAAAAAAAATGGTACAAAAACCATGTGATGATATAAATACTACCAGAAAGCAAACCAAATGGTGTAATGCTGGTAGTCTTTTAAAAGGTTGATTATTAAGTTTAGCATTGAATAATAATGTTAGCATATTATTTAATTTTTAGAATGAATAAATGAGATTAAGAAATAAATATTAAAAGCATGGTAGAAAATGAGACAATGAGTTGGCAGTGATGAAACAAGAGACAGAAAAGCGGCCTAATTTTTCTATTCTGGGAGGGAGTGTTAACTAACGGTTAGAAGAGAAGGAAGGAGTAGCATAAAATGGAGGTTGAAATTCCCTCCCCGTTCCGCTGAATACATCACATCGCCTTCCATCTCCCTCTCGTTCTCGTAGAGGGAGCTCCGCTTCGGATCTCACCTCTCTATCTCTCTGCATTCCTCTCCTCTGCACTGTTCGTTTCCCTCCCCTTTTTCATTTTCCAGATCAACATTCATCATTCATTTTCATTTTCATTTTCATTTGTTTGTTCTTTCAGCACCAAGATGGTTGCCCAGAAATTTCTCGTGGATTTGAGCAAGCCCCTTGTGTTCCAGGTTTGTAACGTGCTTTTTCAATCTTCATTATTTGAATTCAATCTTCATTATTTGAATTGTTCTTTTGCTCGCAGGTTGGGCATCTTGGGGAAGACTATGATGAGTGGGTTCACGAACCTATCGTAAGCAAGGAAGGCCCTCGCTTTTTCCAAAGCGATTTTCTGGAGGTACGCGCATTCCTATCCGTTAATAATTGCCAATTCATCGGATCAATTTCGCTTTCTATCAGATTGTCAAATGAATCGAGGTTAGGTTAACTAACGTTGTTATGGCTCTTGGATTGGGATAGTTGTTCACGCGCACTGCATGGTGGGTGATTCCAACCGTTTGGGTGCCGGTTGCCAGTTGGTTCATTTCCAATTCTGTCAAATCAGGCATTCCTTTTCATCATGTTGCTCCTCTCGTCCTTCTTGGAATCTTCGCGTGGACTTTCGCGGAATACACCTTGCACCGATTTCTCTTCCATGTTAAAACCAAGAGCTACTGGTTTGGTTTCTCTCCCTTTCTCTTAACAAATTAGTGGCTAGTCTAGTTAATCTATCTCTATTCATAACTTGTAAGAAAGTATTCTTAATTTTTTGGCTTAAATCACCCTTATAGTTTTATTAATGTGTAATTTTGATCCCTACAAAAATGTAATAGTACATCTGGTTATCCCTGATGGACACATTAGCATTTTCTGTTAGAGAATGGGTGACATATAGCGGTTAACCAGAATTGCTTAATTTTAAAAAACTGGAGGACTAAAAGTGTAATTAAATTTTTGTTGGATCAAAATTGGATATTTTCAAAACTATGAGGACCAAAATGGATTTAAGCCTAATTTTGTTGTAAAGTGCAAAAACTTAAACTCATGTCACGTTGAGATTGGTTAGAGCATAGAAAAGTAGTGTTTGATGATTTTCTTGATATGCTATGTTTTGCATGTACTTCTGTTCAATAAAATCTATATGCATGATATTGATTACTTGTTTTATAATTTGCATCAGGGGAAACACCTTGCATTATCTTCTCCATGGCTGCCACCACAAGCACCCCATGGATAGCTACAGACTTGTTTTCCCCCCTGTTGCAGCCGCTATCTTAGCCGTCCCGGTATTTCTTTTCTTACCTAATATACAAAAGATTCATGCATTCTTTAACTATTACCAATGTTTTTTTTTTTTTAAAACTGCGGTTTTCTTGTGTTTCAAATGTGGCGTAATTATACAATTGGTTACCTCAGAAACCTTTATACCTTACCTCATAAGGGAATCCAATAATGACTCTCCCCGTGTCATGTAGGATCCGGCTTCTCTAGAGTAAGAAATCAGTTTAGAGAATAAAGTATATAAATTCAGATGTTTATAACAAGATCAACGGTTGATGTTAGGCAAATCATGACTGCATTGGAATACTATTTGTTGATTTTCTCTTCAACTACTAAAGTTACTCACTTTACTGGAGTTAGATCCTATAATCTACAAATTATTGTTACGAGAAACTCTGTTTTAATAAATATAAAATGTTTCATTTGTTTTGCTGCATATAAAAAGTTGCCAATTAGTTCAGCGTTACTACTATGGTTTCAAAAATCTTTTTATATGCAATGCAATAAATTTCATTAATGCCGACATCAAAGCATTCGGTTATTGCTGTGAAATATTGTAGTTGTTTACATAATAAGAATTTTCTTGCTTTTGGGTTATATTGAAGTATGTTAGAGCTCAGTTTCTATTCATGACAGGAAATGTTATCAGAGAAGGTAAATGAATGTTCAGATCAAATTTAATATCTTGAGAATTTAAAATGCATTCAATACTTTTGTCACCAAAAATAAAAGAATTAGTGGGAGGTTTTTGTAGAAAGGTGTTGAATTGTTCTTCTCATGAAAGGAAACCCAGAACTCATTAGCCTTATCAAGCAAATAGTTTGTTGCTTCTGAAAGGACATCTTCGTAACGGTGATCATCTTTTGGTTAAAGCTTCCAAAAAGTGGTTGCTTCTGGAATGGCTTTGTTGATGTCTCAAGAGAACCTAGGCACCTCATCATCTGTAACAGAGTTTGCAGATTTCCTCTGAAAATGGCCAGAAAACCTTTTAGCATTGTGTAAAATGATTGATTAATATGAAGATGTTGGTGAAATTCAGTGATACCTCTATTCTATGCGCATACTTTTCCAGCTGAACTTGATAACAGGTTCCATGAATTGATTTTGGTGCTTTTCTCTGCCGTGTTCAGATATGGAACTTAGTGAAGCTTTTATGCACCCCTTCAATTGCTCCTGCCGTGTTTGGAGGTATCTTGTTGGGCTATGTGATGTATGATTGCACTCATTACTACTTGCACCATGGTCAACCAAAGTCCGACGTGCCCAAAAGTCTTAAGGTAAAAGCGTTTCCCCTCCTTTAGCTGTTAAATTGCAGTATCGAATATGCCAATGCTACTTAGAAGAATCATCTTGTCAATGAATAAAACTCGTGCAATTTCCCAGAATCATCTTCTGGACCAAGAGTTTTTCTAAGAGCTTGATAAACATGAATGTGATTGCCTACTTTCTTGTCATGACATAGACTTTCTTGTTGCGTATGATGTATTGGCAGCTTTCTAAATTTTATAAGCCAGGACAAGGCAAATAATAATTCCTTCGTTATTTTGCAGAAATACCACTTAAATCATCATTATCGCCTCCAAAACTATGGCTTTGGGATCACTTCACCCCTGTGGGATAAAGTTTTTGGAACGGTTCCTCCTCCTCAATCAAAGGGAGATGCGAAACGTAGATAATTTACTCCCATGGTTACTTTTGTTCATTGGTTAAGCATAGTAAAATTAGGAGCTCCAAACGAGATATGTTAATAATTCATTATACATGTCTTGATTGTCTAATTATTTTGCTCCTCGATTGATGTTTCCGAGGGTTAATGTGCTGCCATCTTGTCCCAACACATCCCGTAAAATCTTATAATATATCAATATTTTTGGCGTATAACTGATTATTTATGACTTCCTCATGTTGATTGAAGATAAAATTACAGTTCTCAGTAGAACGCTCACCTCCTTGGCCATGATGTAGAAAAGAGTCATATTTGAGACTAGCAATTGGTGTCGTATGCGAATATTGTTTTGGGCTAACAAAGCATCATGAAATCCTAATTTTAGATCTCTCTGCGGGTAGTGAGGTTCTTGCTTGTGGCACAATACTAGAAAAAATGGTGAGTCATTTTGTGCCATACGTTCTACCAGCGCCCTTCTGTCATTCCTATTCAGTCATACATTATTGGTCTAAAAATTAATTCAAATCAAAATCCAATCATATCTAAAAAATCAAATCAAGTAAAAAATTTTTTACAAAAAGATAAAAAAATGTTTAAAGTCCAAAAAAGTACTAAAATAACAGAAAGACTGAAACACAAATCCCGCTACAGTGAAAATTGCTTGCTTGAAAATCTTAACGGGAGTAATTAGAATATAATTTCTTGACTGCCATATTTGGAGAGTGAAAATAACTAAATGTAAAAGACAATTAAACAATTGGCTTCACAGTAAAACATGTAAAATGGATGAATGAAAATGTTAGGGTTTAACTTCGTTAGATTTCCTAAGATGTAGTCACGACTCGTTTATATTCAATCAAAACTATGTTATTACTAGCCAACAAAATTATTCAAGTCCTAATCGCTTAAGTCCCTTGCTTTAATTTATCAATTATAACAATAGAAGGATTAACAGTGGATAAGAACAATAATCAATAATCATTAATTAATTGAATAAATAGAGTAACAACTAAATGAAAGTGGATTTAGTTACATTAAATATCGAGCAAAGGAATAAAAAATACTTAACTACAACATATCCAAAGGATTTTTATTCTTTTTATTAAGATACTTAAGTACTAGTTGTCTAAAATAATTTTTCACTAGAGAAATATCAAAGTAATTAGGCTTATTTTAGTTATATGTTAATACAAAATAATATCTATTCTCGTTAATTTTTAGAAATTTTATCCAATTTTGTGATATATATATATATATATATATATATATGTCAGTATTTTAATTTATTTTAAAATATATATTATTTTGAGGAATTATTTTTTTTAAATATTCTCATATTGTAGCACTATATTTGATTATAAACTATTTAATAATATATATAATATATTTTAATTTATATATTGATCCTCAATTATTAAGTGTAAATAGAAAAATAAATGTCCTTAAGTAAAATGTCTATTGGTTGGACCCATACAAACCAAATTGAGTAAACAAATGGGTGAGTAGCCAATTCTCAAGAAAATTCATCACCATATATATGACCATATTACTTTCTTTCTTTTTAATTAGTTTATGTCATGTATTTCAATAAAGTAATGACAAGTAAAGTTTAATATGACGGATCTCATCTTTAGCCTCTCAACCACAATTTGAGTAAATAGATAGAAAGTTCTTATTTATTTTTTTAATCTCAAATTCTAACCACATGGTGATAAGTAAAAATAGTTACATTTTTTTTTAAGACTTGCTTGAGAAGTCAGGTTCCCCTGTGAATACCCACCTAAAGAATCTTCATACTTTCACTTTTAAATTATCCTTATCATGCTTTATGGCTTCGAGATAAAAAAGAGAAATAAAGTTTTAGTGATTTATTTTCTACTTCCAAATTCACTCTAGACATCTCAATCTAAGGAGAAGTTTGTTTCAAAGGCTATTTATATATTTTTACTATTAGTCATATATCAATTTGAGGTTACGGGTGTTAATTGGGTCGATGATCCAATCCAACCCAAATTGGGTTTTAATGTGATTGGATCAAATTCAACCCATTTATTTTTGGGTTGGTTGACAGGTTAGATATGAGTGACCCAATTCTCACCCTAACCCAACCCAATAACTTATTTTGTATAATGTATGTAACATTTTCATTCCATGTGTTGTTGTTGTGATATTGAATGTGAGTGAAACAAAAAAAAAATTCCAAAATGTAATCCTAAAACTTCACTATGACTTCTAGAACGAAGATGCCCATAAATGTTTGATTCGTAGGGCTAGGAGATTAGTGAAAAAGGTTAGACAAAAATGCAAAATGTTCTTTCGTTACAACTACTCATATATACTTCAAACCAACATTGTTCACCTTTATCATTGATCTCTATCACTTGTCTTTGTTTCAAAATTATTCCCCCACGGTCTTCTGTCTCTAACCTAGTCATGTGTGTCACCTTGTTTCATGTTATCCCTCTTTTTTTAGTTGCTATATCGAGATGAGAAAGAAAGAAGTGATATATTTTCATGGTGTTGAGAAAAGGGGTGAGGTGTAAGTCCAAGTGGGATGTGACAAAGTGGTTTGAAGTTTGAAGTCAAGAATTCCATAATAAGCTTTTGGTTTTATTTTTTTATTAAATGATTTTCCTTCTACTAATGCCAAATTTTGTTTCCATTCCCTTTTTCTAGTTTTGTATTTGTAATTATAGTTTGTGTTGGGAATCCAAGTATGAGTCTAAGTCTCACATTGAGTAAGAATGAGAAAGTTGAACAACATATAAGGAAGTATGACCCATAACACAATGCCTTAAGTCTTTGATTTGAGAGTAGTGTCAATCCTTTATGTGTGTTGGGCTCATGTCTCATTGGTATTGTGTTCTCCCTAGTAAATCTCCCTCGAAAGACACAACAAGTGGTATCAGAGCCAAAGGTTGAATGATAGTTTAAGAGTGGTTTTTGTGTCGAAAGTCTTCCTAATAGTGGGTTAAGTAAGCGTGTTCTAAGGATGAACCGCAGTACATGGAAAGGTCACTAGTGAGCTTGAGGAGATGTACCAATGTGGAGGAATTCACACTTGAGGGAGAGATTGTTAGGAATCCAAGTGTGAGTCTAAGTTCCACATTGAGTAAGAATGAGAAAATTGAGTAACATATATGAAAGTATGACCTATAACCTAATGTCTTAATGTTTTGGGTTGAGAGTGGTATCAATCTCTTATGTGGGTTGAACTCATGTCTTATTAGTGTTGTATTCTCCCCAGTGAATCCCCTTGAAAGACCCAATAGTTTGTGATAACTGTTATTAATGCTTTTAGTGAGAATCGTGGGTTTTTGGGTGACCAAAGTTCATGATATAGGAAGGTACAATTCAATATGTTATGAGTAAATAAACATATGCATTGTTTTCAAAGGCTTTAGTGTTATTTAACAATATGTGCCAATGTGCTTTTTTTAGAGTGACATGAATCACAATTACACAAGGGGTAATTTAGGATGTTTAAGGTTAGAACCTTGTAGGAAATTTAGGAATTTAGTGATAAGGTGGAAGGAAATAATCACTCTTTCCAAGGAAAGGCAACACACAAAGGATGTGAAAGTCCTTTGATACAGCCAAATATTCTTGAATCACTCAAGAGCTTAGGAGAATCATTCTCACTAAGATAAAAGAGATAAACTCTAATATTTCTAAAAATAAACTCAACTTGTTATTTCTGATAAAAATGGTTCAACTTATAAAGAAGTTTTGCCATCAGAGTTACAAATATTCATTAAAGGAAAATAAATGCTAATAATGATTTATTAACCTACGAATTGAAATCTACTTAATGATTGATTGTAACTGAAATTATGGCATCCAAAAGTCAATCAGCTATGCACCCTCTTGGTCTCCCAAAGACTGATAACTAAATTTTCAATTGGGCCCTTATTACAACTTGCAATAAAACTAAACTAAAGCCCATTAATTGAGTAATCCAAAATACAATTTGGTCAACCAACAATACTTGTTGAAGAGCTCCATTTGCTTCCCTTGCTCTAGCCCTTATCATAAGTCATGTTCACATCATAGAGTCACCAAGGAAGTAGTATAAATGTTGAAGATGATACAACCACTCTTGAAAGACTATGTGTGTTGTATTATTGATCTAACAATTGTAGTTGTAATTGTATTATAGACAAAGGTAGAGTGAAGTGTTGCAAAGGTTTGAAGTGTTTTATAAGAAGGTGTTTGTTATGGTTTAAAAAGGTAGAAAGGTATAGTAAATGTTTGTTATTTTAAAGGGTTTCTTTCTATATTTTAAATATTCAACCCATTCGTGCATGTTACTTACTTATATTTGGTTCTACTTGTTATTTTTTGGGATCAAAGTACAAACTTATTGTGTTTTGTTTTTTGAATGCTAGTTTTTTGTTTTCGTATTTAATAAATTTTATTACTCAATGTTTTGATAATTTTTAACTATTCTCCAATATCCATATAAATGGAAAAGAAAAGTTGCATTGAGTTAACAACTAGCACTAGAAGTATGAACGCCTCAAGGCCTATGCTACCAATAATATCATCTAAAGGTCTTACTCTATCAACTCCATTTGAAGTTGAATCTCAACAAGAGGTTCCAATACAATCAGGGTCATCAAGAACATGCCAAGGACTTGAGAGAAACTTGTTAAGGTTTCTTCAATGGTTTGGATTCATTATAATAGGGTAGATGACAATGCAATTTGTAAGTATTGTGGCAAGTCATATAATACTAATAGTAAAAAATATGGAACCACTAACTTGATTAAAAATTTAAATGGTTGTTTTATGAATCCTCATATAAGGAGGTTGATAAGAAACAAAGGAAATTAGATATTGGAAAATGTGAGGGTGACACTAATGCCATGAATTTGATATTTGTTGAATTCAATTAAGAGAAAACTCTTGTTGCACTTGCTAAGATGATAATAGTTAATGTACTTCATTTTAGATTTGTTGAAGATGAAAGGTTTAAGAAGTTTATGCAAGAAGCTCATCCTATTTTAA